GAATATAAAATAACACTGCATAACACACCACAGACTAATCGACCTAACCTAACGTAGTGTAACGTTACCTAACCAAACCTAACCTACCCAAATCCAATCTTAGTGGAACTAGAAAATCTCGCTAATCTAGCCTAAGTCGCCAGAGTCCTACATACTAGTCGCCCAAATCGGTAGATCGCCACGACTCCTCATGTTTGTAGCTGTAATTAACACTGTGGTCGCCCAGGTCTGCACTATCGCCTTGAACGCCACGGGCACCATGGTCGTGAGGTCGCCACGGTGCCTATTCTCAGTAGTACTGCATGTACTCTGCTAATATTTAATACTTCAATTCACCATTGCGAAGATCGGTTTGTTAACGCTGTTTATGCTGGGAATCATATGAAACAAAGCGAACGTGCAGGTTTCATAAGGAGCTGCGAACATATTTTCAAGATGTCTGTTCTAGGAAGTTAGTGCGGCTAGCACAGTACATGGTCTGCTGTGCTACCATGCCCTAATCTGCATTCTTTAATCTAGTTTATCTTTACTTAACAAGACTTTTACTGCTATGTACGACTCCTTTGATCCTCCCAGGAACTTCCGTCTTCTCGAAGTTCTTCCTGAACAACAAGGCAGCGACTTCGGGAGGAAAACAGAAGCAGTGGATTAAACTTCCGTCACTCCCTGTCTTGTTACAGTGACTGGGGCCTTGTTGCTACTTGGAATATTTCTGAAGACGCTTTTGACGGAAAGCAAGCCCACTCAACCGTTTCGAATCCTGCAAAGTAGATTATATCCCATATACGAGCGTTTGAATTAAGCAACGCCAGGGATCGTACCAGAACGTGAGAGCGAACATAAGCTGTACAGCATAATGCCTCGTTTCAAACCGGATGATCTGACCTCTTTGTGGAAGCACTACCCCATTATAACATATACAGGTTCGCCGAGTAATGTTTTAAGGCGCGCGTATCTGAAAGATAAATTTAACTCCACGTTTTATCCATCGGTGTCGCTCGGGAAACAAAGTAGACAGGGCGTGTTCATCCTCCAGGCTTTCCGGACACTAGAACATATAGAAAATTACAAAACTGCGTACCTTTACAAATATACACACATGCCAACCCAGAACACTAACATTGACATCTGTACCAACCCAGAACACTAACATTGACATCTTTACCATCGTGAGAACCTTATCTGAGGTTGGGTTCATGGATAGAGGTGAAAAATTGCGTGATATTAACTAATAATCCAATTAAATGGCTGTACTTAATAAACGGTTTGCTTTTGTTGTTCTTTTCGCCAACTCTCGCTTCGTGTTCCCCATTGCTACTTTAAAGTGGTTACATTCAGTGGCGACACATTCTAGTCACACTGTAGTAATCGTTTTTCAGGTTTTTAATACGATTTAAAATGGAGTTTACGTTGTAAGGACGGAAACATTTAGAGGCTGCTGGTTGGGACGAATGGGGCCAGCATAGTCTTGCATCAAGGAGACCGAGTTCCCGTTTATGTTTACCGGGCAATTAAAGTTCTAAGAGATCGTCATGGCGCATTATTTCCTCCGCTGTTGGCCATCCTCTTTCCAAGATGCGTTTTAATATTATCTTCTCATGTAGGTCTCTGATCTTTCCCACACTTGTTACTGATACACATCTTAATATATGTGGTGTTTGTAACACCAGTTACCAATAAGAGCTTTGTTTTCGTTCTATTTCAGGTAAGATCCAGAGCTTAAGAGGTTTGGAATTAGCTTGCAAGCTTCATCATTATGAGCGCACTAGCGATAAACCTTCATACGTAGCGAACAGATGGAAAGAGGTTAACGCACCTTCATGGTAAGTAACGAGTTGTTTTATTGGGTGTCATGTATAGTTATTTTGAAGTCTAATTTTTTTTTGCGGATATCACATTCCTTAAAGTAACACGGACAGTTAGATTGAAGCGGGTAATCTTGATAAAATTGTAACACTATAGTTCTTCCACTGTACGTGACAAACTGTCACTCACCCGCCTTCCTCTTAGAATACTACAGTAGTTTCTGCACCACTTACATGCCACTTGTCTGACCTCTACTCAAGTATGCCCTTCACAGTCGCTCAAGAGATGGTTTACTTCAATGAGAGGGCGGGCAAGAGGCCATTATGAACGTCGTCAGAAGGGAAGAACTGCTAAAGAGGAGGCATCCAAAAACGGCGTCAAACGCAAACACAAACAATGAATTACCTTTACCACTCAAAGAGACGCTACAATCCAGAGGCTTCGTTCGTAATGTCTCTACTGGGAATTTCCGTCACAGCTTTTGCAGTTTGAAGTAAAGAGAAAGTGAACAGAGAGAGGAAAAGAAACGAATGAAAAAGTAAAAGAAAGCGAAACAAAGGAAAGAATCACATTTGCTCGTTTCAGTAACTTGTAAGAGTTCGGCAATACTGGTGTAAATGCAACCTGAAGGGGATAAAGAAAATTGAGGAAATAAGGACGCAATAGTCTTGCTTTGAAGTTATATAGTCGGCGAGAGTGAGCTTTAAAAGTTGAAAACTTCAATTGAAGAAAAATCCCTGGCCACACGAACTGCCCTTACTGCAGCAAAAAGCAAGAGAGGAAAACCCCGGACCGCTTATTCGTTGTGTGCGCGATGTGTTGTCGCAATCGATTGCCTGGTTAATTGACAAAGCTGTTCAAACTGCTGAGGTAAAATGATTTGGTATTAGATGACAAGTTTCGAAAATCTCATTGATGATTTTCAGTTGTTTTTAGTTTCGACATTAATTTTGTCATTCAAATACGTAGTCGCTTCGTGATAGAAGGATCTGAATAACAAAATATAAATTTGTTGATTATAAAGCGAGATCGAGAGGGAAGAATATAAGAACTTAGAGAGGGGAATGATAATAAAAGTAGGAAAGGAAACGAAAAGGACAGGAGATAAAAAGAAACGAAGGACTAATTTATTTCATTATTTTTCTCCAAATAAAATCATGCTTATTTATTTCTGTGTCAGGAGCCAGCGATACATTTACGTTGTCTTTTGCGGGATGGTAATTTAAACAATGGCTACTTGTTTCGAAAGATAATAAGTGCACATTGCTAAGAAGGGTACCACAGTAAGTTTCTGAAGTATAATGTTAAATAACGAGGAACTTCTTCGGGGCTCCATAATAATGGAAGTAGTTCGTTTTGTCTGAAACTTTTGTCAGTATATGAAAAAAACTATTTTATATTTTCTTATAAAGACTTTTTGTTTAATCGAAGTTCTGTTTCTGAGAGGTTTCACTGCAGCCAATTGTTTATAAAGAAATAGCCCTTCCTCCAGATGCTCCTCTGATGTGGCAGACTGCTTGCTTTCTGTCGGCCTGTTATGGGAGGATTAAAACATATTTTCTTTCCCTCCACTTTACATCACTCCCAACTTTAATACCAGCCACCGCCCTCTGTGCATGTCTCGTCCCATTTGCTAAAAATGAAAGCTCTTCTTAAAAGAGTTCTGTGGTAGAACGATTCCCGAGGGGAAAATTTTTAGAAACAGAAAGTTGCCGTCTTCACTTTCCGGACCCCCTTTCATGAAATAATAGTTTGTTTTAGTAAAGCTCAGTTTGTGCTGTATTTTAAATCTTTTTCTCAGCAAATCGGAATCGATGCCATTACTTAATATCCTTATAAGGTGATACAGGTTAATTAAAATGGATGGAGTTGTAATGGACAGTGTAAACAATGTAAATTTTAAGATGTAGAATGCGTAACACTCACTGGGTGGTATCAAAATGGAACGTTACTTGGTGACGTCAAGTTTAAAGGAAAAAATAGAGAAATCAATCCATTTGTTATGAATATGTGGAGCAGTAGCCATAACGAGCATTTTAGCCCTTTGTTCTATGTGGACGTGAAACTAGATATCTGGTTTCTATGGAAGATGATTTATTATAAGTGTATGAAAAAAATTGCTCACGTGAATATCTTAACATTTAAGTTGTTACGTTCCATTAACCTACAACCATAATTTGCAGGACGTTACCCATCACACCTCTTACGTTGTTTTGACTGCAGATTCAGCAGCCCATTGCCTGAAAGGTCGAGCGAACACCGTTAAGGGCCCATCTACGTCTGACTGCGTATCTCGTTTCCCTGGGAACTAGGCAACCCGCATGACCCTTATTATAAGAACTTTGATGTGAGTGTAGTTTAGTATACGCGACGCAAATCTGTCACGGCCAATGCAGTACGATCTAAAACGAGGGGAGGATCTAACAATTCCCCGTTGTGATTATCATCATGACGGTGTTTTCCAGTTTCGGTACAGTGTGGAGACAACCGTTAAGAAGACACGTCAGAAGTTTAACGAAAATGTTTTAAGAACTGTATGTGTGCGATCAATTAACTGAGGCGATGCAACACAGTAAATTGTCCCTACCTCCAGTCCCCTCCCACCCTCCCTATGCTGTTGTGGCTGAGGTTCGTGCTAATTAGTTAGACGAAACCCCTACAACCCCCACCAACTGTTCGTTGCTGTTCCCGTGCTTGCCTGATCCTCCGGCATTCTGTGTTGTGAAACGTTAATCAGTCTGGAATTGAAATGGGTTCACGCGGCTAGTCGAGCTGTGAGGGAGGGATAATGGGGTAAAGTAGGGGCAAGTTTCCATTATTCATTTGCACCCAGTACCTTCTGCTTTGCGGGTTGCAGCTACGTCCACAATTCGGAAGGGACTCGTGACTGCCCATGCGTGGAATTTCTGATGTTGCAGTGCAAGAAGGAACATAAAACTGTTATGCACCGATGTGTAAGCCTCCGATTCAGTAAACATCGTGGTTCTGACGTCGTGTGAAATTGTAGGTAAACACCAACGTTTTGGAGAAACATACCGTCTCCGTTTTCAGGGCTGAAGATGGATACGTTTTAACTTCCAGGTTTTAAGATGGAGGCAGGAAGGAAGTTAGGCCGGGATGGAGAGAACAGCATAATGAGGAATTTTATTAGTCGATTTTTGTCTTCTGGGTTGTAATGCTGCGTGGTACCAGTAGTCCTCCGAAACCATCTTATGTAGCTAAAAGCAATGCTTTTACGCACAATTTGAGCTTGGCTGTGTGGCCGTATTTTTATTGAAGTGATTTCCAATCGCTTAATGCCTCGGCACTGGAGTGGGATGATGACGTCCTGCTAACTAGCAATTCGTTTTGTAATTCTGGCTTTGAATTTCATCTCACAAAACAGCAATCATGGACGATGAGTGTTAACCGGAAGAGTTGTCTCTAGTTACCCTGATAATTGAAAACGAAATACGTTCTAATGTTCAACAAGAAATGGACAGAAAAAAAGCCTGCATGTTGTAAGACCAATTTTATACCGTGACAGCACAAAAGGTTTTGCTTTCGCTATCTCGGCCCCGGAGGCCAACACCCTGTATCCTATGAAAATTGTGTTCCATATGCGTTTTTGTGGTTGGCATGACAACCTCGAAGCCGTCTGCGACATCCTATACGTCTCTAACCAATTCTCAAATTATACTCGGTATGCGGCCCCAAGTATCCCACTGTTTAATAAGTGTTGAATTTGAGTCATGAAGGGAAATGCTGCAGATTCTTAAGGTGGCCGGATGTGGTCAATTTAAACATCAAACATTCTGACCATTGTTTGTCAATTGAGTTTTGAAATATCATTTTCTGGTCATATTTCTTGCAGCGTTCTCACTTAAAGTTTTGACTCCTGCCATCGAGTCTGCCGATAATTCGGCTGGCTGGCATTATCTTCATTCACCGCCTCATGCAAATAACGCCCAGTGAAACTACACTAAATCGCAAGTAACTTAGATACGGGTCTGCTGTACTTCGGTCGGTATCTGCCCCCAGCAGGACTACCATTCTCGCCCCATAACCCTGTCCTCCATCTCTCCTGCCCCAGCTGTAATCTCAATCCACCCGCTTCTGTAAAGAACAGCTCTCAATTTTGGGCTGCGTGGTTTATATTAATTAAAATATCAGCGCGGCAGAAGGATCGGATTAAGCGAACGAGAGCCACTCAGCGGCTCTTATAGCGTCCCGAATGCGCAGTTGTCATAAAAATATTTAGCCTGAGATATGGATACATCCAGTACTATTATTATTCAACATCTGTGACACTAAACCAAATATCATACGAATTGTGTTCTCTTCTATCCGCTTTGAGTGAATGTTAGGATTGGTTTTGGGGTAGGGGGCTGGAAGGGAAAGGGGTGGCAGCTGGACAAATGGAAATGATACTAGAAACCGCAATACCACGTTATTCCATTAGCCATGACTATCATCACCAAATTTACTGATGAAACTTTGTCAGGTGTATCAAAATTCTGTGACCTGTTCTGAATGAAAAATAGATTCATGGAACATTATATTGCGAAGCTGATAGTTTCTAAGTTTGGTCACGAAGGTAATTAATAGCATAGTAGTTTTTGTGATTTATACGCTATTTTGGTCAGCCATATTATGAATATTAAAAATAAAATTTTGGTGCATACGCTGGATTTTTTATGCCTTACTTTTTCTAACTTGACCGTAATTTTACATTTACTCTCTGTGTTCTAATCCATTTTGCAAGGCAGCTGCAGACAAACCGTAAAGTACATCTGTACTTTTATTATAGTGGAAGCAGGTAAACTGAAATATTAGCTTAAGTTTGGGGGGGGGGTGCTTTAATGAGATTGTGGCGGAGAGTCATGGAACGTTTTCCTCCCAGAGGGTCCTCACTGATTTCGCAATTGCGTGCACAAGAGACTGTCACGCGGATTATTTTTTATATTGCTGTGCACAAAGCGGACCAGCTGACGTGGTCCTGGTAGCGGGATCTTAAGCTGTGCTCAGAACGAATAACATTATTACAGCGCTCTTGGCCGAAATGGCAGTTTACCGTTAGTCTGTTTAATGCGTTAAAATTTACTTTAAACCGGAATGGAAGTTCACCGTTAGTATGTTTAATGCGTTAAAATTTACTTTAAAAAATAAGAACTTCTGAGTAAAAAAAAAGTCGCGTCTGTACTTCGGTGGCAGGTCTGCTTTCGAACACAGGACCTTGACGAGAAATTCAGAGCTGAGGAGGAAGTAACAGGAGGTTGGAGAAAATGGCACAATGAACAATTGTAGAACTTATACTATTCGCCAGTGCATTATAGTACCTTAAGCGCTGAAACCATTCGATAGCCATGGGCAGGGTTGGGGGAATAATATTTATACTTATGTTAGAGAAATTTTGACTGGACTCATCAGGTTCAGGGACCAGTGACGGGTTACGGTGAACACGATAATGCACGTGAAGGTTTCATAAAAGGCGTGTAATTTCTCGAGTTGGGGGTTCCTTCTACCAAGGAGTTAGTTAGAGTTACTTGAAGAACTTAGTTACTTTCATTTAACAAAATTAGAAGATTGTCATATAACAGAGGATTTGTCTTTGATCATAGAATGTATTTCAGTATACGAATTTTTTAGGTTTTTAGTGGGATAGTTGACTATCACAGTGATATAATGTAACATATAACGTAACCCCATTTATCGTATCCAGTTATCCTAAATTACGTAGGATATTATGAAAGCTACTGATCTTTTTTTGCGTCGTGTGTGCTATCGAGCGTCTCGCAAGCTGTGCTGCACGAGGTGTCTGGGAGTTTGCAAATCCAAAGTCGCTTCGGTGTTATTTTAAATAGGTTTTTGTATGGAAACCTCTCACAAAGGAGTGTGAATCGAGTGGGATTCACACGCAGTGCGTTGTGGCGTAATGTTCTTGTGCTCACAACTGACACCCTGCCAGACTGCGGAAACAGATTTTTCGCGGAACAATGACTGAAGACTCATATCCTCCAACGTTTCCTCTTATACCTTCAAAGTGTTTATTTTTTCTCTTTTTTTCGTGCATGTGGAGTGAAAGGATATTGGACAAGTCTGGAATCCTGACTAGTGGAGCGGAAATATTGTTTGAAAACTGCTGGAACTTAAAAAAGAATGTTCCTTTGCCTTTTCCAGGATTTTATTGCTATTAAGGCACATAGTTCTGCATTAAGTTAGGGAGCATACCGAAATATGCCACAGGACTTTTCAGTTCGTTTATCCAACTTCTGAAAGTCGTGAAATTTCTTATACTTGTTGATCGCGGCATGATGACATTGAAATGATTAAAAGACGGACATTTTTTAAGGATGTGTATAGAAAAATAAGAGTTGGTAAATAAAAAAGGTTTTCTTAAAAAAACGTGGCAAATACTGAAGAAGGAAGATTAAGATGAGGGTATAAACAATCTTATTTGCTCTTAGAGTCAGGAGCAACGTAGTTTGTTGGTTAGTTAGTTAAATGAGTGTGTCTGTTGACGATACATGGATGTACTGGGGATACTGGGAACGACCCGTTCTTCAAATGTCTGAACAGTAATGACAGAAGGGAGGAGCGTATTCTTTACTTGAATACATGAAACGACCCGTTCTTCAAGTGCCTGAGCATTGCGGGTCCCAACTTTTCGTTGGCTTCATCTATAGACATTCGGTAGGACTCCTTGGACGAGGGATCGGCCCGTCGCAAGGCCTCTACCTGTACACAGGACAGCACAACACAGAAAAACATCCATGGCTTGAGTGGGATTCGAACCCACGGTCCCAGCGGCACAAGGCCCACGCCTCAGATCGCGCGGCTACTGCGAACCCCACATGGATGTAGGATTTGTTTTATTACATGCGTGTTGTAGCCACTGAAGGAAGTTATAAGTACGCAGTATCAGATGTTACCTTCGTGGCTACTTGCCCCTTCATGATGATCGTTTAGTGGGTTCAGAATCCGGATGCTTAAATGTCAGTTGTGCCTTTAATCACCATTCTCATTTACTTCTACATGTAACCTTGATGTTATGAGGAGAAAAGTCCCGTTACAGGTGACCATATGGTGACTTCAGGGTCGACGGCGGATGATGTCATAAAATATTGTAGACAAAATCAATTTACATTGGCGTTTTTCCAAAACATGCTCATTTTCCCTTCAGATTAGAGAATGTGTATTGTCTAGGAATATGGATCTTCGTTGGATATTATCTGTATCAAGCGAACATTTTTATTTTACGACTCCAAAATCAGGACCACACCGCTTCTTTTATCGGCCTGGCTGTTGTTATTTTAAACTAATCATAAAACTTTTTCGAATTTTTAAACGCCAATATTGGAAAATGCTTTATATGCATTGAATGTTAAAGGGAGGAGACATTTCTCCTCTGTTTCAGTTTTTGTTTGAATGTTTGAATAATTTGTGATAATTACAGGTTATAATTTCTATCTTTTGGCAGTGGAATTTATGGTCACGGTTTTACATAGATCATCAGTACTTTCGTTTTAATTATTGTGAGGGAAAGTGTTGGGTATTCAAAAGTTAGATTCAGTCTCAATGTTGGTTGTTAAAAATTTGCTTTCAATATCGAAATAACTGACATACCCCTGAAATTTTCTGCGTTTTCGCCGAGTTTTAATGAAAGGTCTGTGTGAAATTTCCCGTTAAATGCCATTTCACATCAGCACATTTACTTTATTTATTTTATTTTATTTTATTCAAATTTGTATTCCTAAGTGTAAATAGGCCTGTACTATCCAAGAGGACATCCGTATGTCTGTAGTAAAGTAATGTAGGGCGAGGATGGATAAAACCGCGCCCACTACATGGAAGTCTACTCGCCTTTATTTCTTATCCTCTGAAGGTAGATATGCTCCATCGAAAGGAACTCGCAGACTTAAGATAATCTCAAAGATTAGACTAAGAGCATGCTCAAGCCGGGTTGCAGCATTAAATAAAAGGGGGAAAACCCCCGTATCATCCCGTCAGTTTCATTTCAGTCTCGGAAGTAATCACATCTTGAGCATGTATTTCGTAATTCACGTGGATTTCGTTTCAACCTGATAAAAAAAGACAATGACCTGTTTTCTCTTAATTATTCATGTCAAGTGAATCAGAACTAATGTATTTGACCGGCTTGTTTTCAGGGCTGGATATACGCCAATGTATTTGTTGTACTTCTTGAATTAAATTGGCATGTATCGTTAGCTATAATTCTAGCTAATACACTAGCAAATAAATAACGAATAGGGCAAACGTAAAAAGTGCCTTTTGTCTCAAACTATTAGAGGCATATAGGGAGCGTCGAGGCAAAGAGCCAAATCATTTTATGAGGCGGCGTTAGATGGATATGAGCGATTAGCTTCGTTCTGTCGCCGCTTTACTCCAGGAGAAACACCCGCCGTGACCCCTGAGGTCACCATAGCTAGGCAAGGCATGCTTTAGCTAGAAGATGGTCAGTCTACTGACACAGCTATCTTAGGTAATAAATATATACAAATAACAGAGTCTTCGTATGTGTATAATCACGAGTACGCAGAATGATGTAACTTGTAGAGTGTACAGTGGTAATTTTAAGTGACTATGTCTTATTCGTACACCCTAAGCAAAAGAAAGTGGGCGTAGGTTGTTATAGAACTGAACATGGATTTCGAATTATACTGACTTATTATTTTAAATCTGTGTATCGGAAATTCATTCTTGCAAGTAACAACGTATTACCCTTCCCGTAAGTTCTCGTAAGAATTTATGATATCTACTATTACGTGAATTTTTTTAATCCAGGCCTTTGTTGTGACAATAATAGAAGCTGTAAATTCGTTGTAGTAAAGCCAATATTTCTTTTTCTGTTCACAATTCTACTCTTAATTTCTTCGACATTGCTTAAAGGTCTCTCTCTTTTAACATTTGTGATTGACATTATCATTATCATACACATTTTTCCTAAGATGCACTGCCAGAGTCAGGTTTTCATGGTCGTGGCACTGGTTGGACACCTGTATGGTGGTTTATGAACGTACCACTTGCATCATCAGGTAAATCGTTCACGCGAAACGTTGTTAATCAAACACTAGACGACATTTCGGCCCGGAAGACCTCGATCGATGGCTTCACCACCGTAGAAACCTCAAATCCGTGTTCGCCACAAGCGACATTGTCTTCTGTCCAATTTTCATTAAGATACGTCTGTTATTTCAAAATCTACTAGTAGCGGACAGGCACATGTAGGTGGCACCATAGGTCTCTTTTTTTTCTTACGCTCGGTAAGAGACTCTGGAACCCATGGGTTTGAGGCTCTTTTAGCTGTCATATTGAAAGGTCCTCTGATACGTTATTGCTGTCAGATTTTGTTCCATCACGAATGATTATCGCGTTGTTCCGTATGGATCGTTCCATATGGACCAGCGTTGTTTCTGGGCTCGCTAAACCAACTGTTATACTTTGTAGATACGATATCTGCTTCCTCTCTATTAGTTTTAATTTCTTTTTTTCTTTTGTATGCTTTTATGAATGGAGTAAAGCCACACCCTTTTACAAGACATTATTGTGTGTGTAGTTCCAAATCTATCCTCTCAGTTTGTAAGATGTTGGAACAAGATTGTTAAGCAAGTTTGTTCTTGAAACCTCGCCAGAATGTAATTCTTGGTTCTGCCTTCTTTACTTCACGGAAAAGGCTGCCGCTTTGAATAAGAAATATGTATAATCCACAGCAACATATTTTGTTCCAAATTAAGACTTGATCTAGTCATTTTAGTTGTTTATGAAATTGATCTTCAACACAGTCCCTTAGGTTTAATGCTATTTTTGAAAGAAATAAAATCCTCCTAGACACATGATCTAGCACAGCTCAACAACTTTGAACCGAAATACTGAAAAGTCACGCGGCATTCGAAAGCAACTTATTTCGTAAGGATCTGAAATGTTCTGGGAAAATGTATCTTGAGTGCGTTTGACAGCAAGATGCCGAGAAAGATATTTTAGACACACGTGAAATACTGACGCTCTGTGTTCTGTGTTGGACAACGGAAATAGTGCGACAACTGAGTGGAACCGACGGGACTTTGAGTGCGTTTGAGAGCAAGATGCTGA